TCGTCAATCACTGCTTCTATGGTGCAATTAAAAATAAATACTTTGGTTGTATTTTGTAAATGCTAGAGTGAGAACGGAGTCGTATAAGGATTATAATTATCAATAACATTGTTCAATTCCAGTTTTCACAAAAACGTATACAAATGAAACAAACAACATTTCACAAACGCTGGCCCGGAATCACGGCCCGGAAACCCCAAACAGTGAACTCAATAACTTGGTAAGCGATGTCCTAATCAGCAGTGACAACATACACACACACACACACAATAAATTTAAAAAGAATAACATTATTGTTAGGAGCGAAGAAAAAAAAACAAAATTTTAAAGAAGTCGGTAGTAATGTATTGTATTTCGTTTGATAATTCATTAGTGCGGAAAACATGATTTTGTCGAGCATTTTTTAAAATACTGTCAATAAAGATATTGGGCGATAATTTCCAATCCCCTGGATTCACTTTCTTGAATATTATCACGTTTTTCATTTAACTAGGTACAGTGCCGATTGCGATTTAGAGGTTTATAAAGTAGCTTAAGGTGAAGAAGAATTTATTATTATTATTATTATTATTATTATTATTGTATACTTATATAGCGCATATCAAACTTCTCTATGCGCTGAACATTATTACCCCGGATCACTGGATCAAGCACATATGGAACACACACTCAGGCCCCATAGGGGAATTCCATAATGTTGCAGCTGTATTCCTGTCTCTTATACACATCTAGATGTGTATAAGAGACCTGTGTTTGAACCTACCAGGTACCCACTTTTACTCCTGGGTGGAGAGAGACAACCGTAGATAAAGTGCCTTGCCCAAGGACACAAGCGACTTGCACAGCGAGAGTTTTGAACCCCCGACCTCGAGGTAGGGAGTCCAAACCACAACCGAATTTCATACCACTAAATAAATATTCGTAAATATATGTACATAATCGAGGAGGAAAAGAGGAAAATACTACTGAATAAATATTCGTATATTTATGTGTACATGATCGATGGGGGGAAATCAATGGATCAGCCTTTGAGTACCGTATGAATTATTGCTGAGAACATATTAAGGACAAGTCTAATTAGACAATGGATTTAAATTAAATTTATGACGTCAATAAGATTCATGTATTTAAATGTCAAGTTTACAGAACATCTAACATCATTACACCCATATGACCAAATCCAAACGTATCTTAGCGTATTTCCGATTACCTATTTCAACTAGTATAGGATAGTCGTGCTATTATTTAACTGGCTCTGAACAGTGGTAGAACAGGCGGGGAAGGGGAATCCCCTCATACAGGTCTGGACCCTCATCGTCCGACGAAAAAAATATTAATTTGCCTACCTAAATAACGATAATTTGATTGTCAATCCCTAATATTGTGGTCTCTAAAAGCATAATGGTAATAGTTGAAGACTTATAGCGCACGTGGTCTATGTGCGCTGTAAAAAAATATAAATAAATGGCAATTGTAGAAGAAAAAAACAAAAATAGCAATTTTGGCCCTAATAAAGCCAAAAAAAAAAAAAAAAACTCTCCCCAACCTTTCCAGTGATTTTTTTCATTCCCGGTGCCTGACCGAGGCCGGCTCTAGTCGACCCCTTGCTTCGGACTCTGCTGTCGGAAAAATTCTGGAGCCATCACTGCCCTGCTTATTTTGAAAGACCGAGGACGAAACCAACTGTTAGTTTGGTCTAGCGGAGCTCAACAAAACAAAGTTCAGATAAATTCTGATGACAGTTTCATTTCATTTATTCGTCCAAAGGACATTAAAATTGACAAATACAAAATAACAGAGAACAAAAACAACACTCAATTGGCCGGACTGGATTGCCATGGCCAAAAAATGAACCGAATCACTGTCATGGCTCTCTGATGCCTACGTTTAGCATAGGTCTACTAGAACGGGGCCATTTTAGTTTAAAATCTCACATTTTCTGTGTTAAGATCAAAGCAGTGAAATTTACAAATTAAAGACATTATTTTTTTTAAACTTATACACCATTGTTTTAATTTAGCTATCGCATTAAATGGTAACCATGGTTTCCTCATTTTACCCTACAAAACATTTTGTACTTTGTGTTCATTAATTTCAAAATAATGCAACCTTAAAGAATCACATAGTGTTTTATAGTAATTACCTTTCAAAGCTAGTCAGTACATGATTTCCCACAAGACTAGAACTAATTGCCTCTCCTCATGACCCTTGTTATAAACAGACATTCATTACCAATGGAGTTCTGTTAGTACATTATTCAAAAACATTCATTTCGTAATCAATTTTGTCTTCTCTTTTTTCCAACATAGTTTCCTATAAAAGTATTCAAGAAGTCCAATAAACAATAAGCCCGTAGCCAAGGTTGGAGGGGTTGAAATTAACCACTTTTTCCAGAAATGACCTTTTAAATTATTAGTAATGGTTTTAGTGCAATGGTGGGGCTAAGGTGGATGTGGACTCAAAGTGCCCTTTTGTGAAAAAAAAGTTGGAACACCACCCCGTCTTCCAACCTCAGAAATCCTGCCTATGGGCATCTTCTAAACACCGATCTCTTCTAGTTCTGCTATTACATCGCTTATTAGTCCGACATGTGTTAGCGATCTCTTCTTTATCTTCGCTTTCGTTTTAATCATATTTCAATATTCATCAACAGTAAAAGACTCTCATTTGTCATTATGCCCTGGTCTTTAATATTCATTTCCAGGTTTATATCTCAAACGCTTTAAATATATATTCATTAACTTCAGGTATCTGCAAGAAGTGTCAAAATGCGGTACAGTATCGAAATAAGATGAAGGATAATGGCCAGGCCGTTGGTATACAGAAATGAACTGATGGGTCGGGTAATCAATGGATACTAAACTACTAA